TTTCAGGATAAGCATACAAAACAATTTTTATGGAATGAGATAACTGAAAGGAGAGATCATGTGCAAAACCCCTTCAGGAACTGAGCAGAGGGTGTTTTCACTAGGTATTTCTTTTGGATTAAGCTGTCTGCTTATATGAGCCAGGAACAGAAAAGTATCTGATAAACACTACTGAGCACACAAGGAAGGCAGCTGATTGCATTAAACAGCTCTGGCCATCTTTTTTCTTGTTTGGTGGGAGAGGATACTTTATTTACTAACAAAATAATGATATTCGGTGACCCAGCTTCTGTCCAAGGAGTGGCTGAAGATGCTGGGAATCTTTGGCTTGGGAAAAAAAGAGGCTATGTCAGCCAGATGAGCTAGAGAAATATCAAGGGACTACCAAGGAGAGAGTAAGGAACAAATTTCTTAGAAAAAATTGCCTGGAAATTCTTGCAGAACATATGCAGGTAACTAGCGATACACAAAATATGTGGTGGAGCTACAGATCTCCTCTTTATAAGGTGCCATGGATGCTGAAAATTTACTTGGCTACCCGGACATCAAAGCCATGAGGGCACCACCAGCCCTTACTGCCCCATGGCAGTCCCACAGTCACCCAGGGCGCCCCCAACCCTACCCATGGCCCAGGACCCCATTTCAGCCCCCTGAGACTGCAAGTCCCTGCCCCAAGGATGCCCTAATCCAAAGACCCAGTCTTATGATCTTACATACCAAGACACTATCAGTGAGAAACTATTACTGAAATAAAGTCAGACAGTCTTACTGGATGAATTGGGTGTGAGAGAGGCTTAGATTCATCAAAAATGAGAGGAACCTGTTTTTAAAGCACCAGAAATAGCAAAGGTAGAGATTGAATCTATTTCATTCTAGAAGGGGATTTGAATTTGCTTCTATCACCTCTAAAGAACATGTCCCAGTAGACCAACTAGTGGATAGTATTTTTCATATGTTTTATTCTGTTCCTGTGCTTAATTTGGATTAAACTGTTTGGGGCTGGTTTTGTTTATTTTCTAGACTCAGAAATAATAAAAACATTTACAGCTTGAAAGAGATAAAAAGTTACTTCTTTACCTTTGCTCTATGAGGAAGAGGTTTTGGTTAGGGTGCTTGTCTGGCTAAAAACTAACTGGGAGCTATGAGCAAAGTCATCCCCCTCCAGTGGCCAGTGAGCAAAAAGAGTAATCTGGGAGGATACCTGGAGATCTCCCAGCGCCAGAGGAATGCTTTACCTTTTATATGGGGTGAATGAATAGACTTAATTCCAAGGAAGTCAGGATGTTATCGCACCTTACACTCACTGAGCTTTGGAGTAGAAATGCCTTTATTGCCTCTTCTGAACCCATGAATATGAGTGCAGCTATTATGGAAAGGGAGGTCTACAGTTCTCATCAAAGAGACTTGGAAAAGTGGAGGTGCCACCTACCAGTCTATAGGAAAAATTATATATAAGCACTTGGATAAAGAGTTTGGCAGCCTCAGCCCTCACACTCACTCTAAGGGTGCAAGAATGGAGGCGTGTACAGGGATGAGACACCTTCGGGGAGGACTGGGGAGATCACAACAGTTGCTGTGACCCTCACTCCACACAGAAGCTTGCAACACCAACAGTTCCAGTTTGGGGACAATTATTTAATTAGAGGCAAAACCAACACTATTCCTGTTCCCCAAAACACTTTAATAAAAAATGCAGTTTCAATGACAAGATGACAACACTATATTTGCTGTATTCATAACATCTTTCCAGGGTCTGTATGAACCTTTGGGATTCAGGGTCAGAGTGATTTCATGAGACAAAGAGCTGCTTTAACTGCTACCGCTGTATTTTTCAGACCAAAGAAAGAAAAGCTCCAGGGATTTCAATAGCCCCAGAGTCGGCAGAAACTCTACAGTTTAATTTGTGGAGTCAGACAGCTGACAGATTACAAACTCAGTTTTACTTCACAGGCACTAGAGCCGTGAATCTAGTCCTATGTCTCTTGAATCAGTGATGATTAATGAGTTTCAAGCCCTTTAAAAATGCAAAGGGCAGTAGTTCAGAAAGGAAAGGCTTCACCTGGCATAGAAAAGAAAGAAAATTTTGTTGCATGGTGGCACCAACCCAGGTATTGTCCAGGTGTGCTACCCCAGCACTCAGGTAGAGCTGGAATAAGGGTTACTCTGTTGAATGGGGATATGAGAATTTGAAAAATTTCTCTTCCCAGCAATAGTTCACTGTTGTCGTTTTAAAGAAAAGTGGCCTCCCCAGGGCATCCTGGAGAGCACTTTTGCATCAAATGTACGCATGAAAATCAGTATCCCTTGGAGCAGTGAGCTGAGCAATGTATCAAAGAATGACAAATTATCACTCACTATGCAGAGAAATAACTCTCAGGAATTTTTATCCAAAGCCAGCAGGGTTCTGGCTGGGCCTACAGGCAAGGCAGTCTCCATTTTGACAGATACAATGCGTGTGTTAAGTGAGAAAAGTGGCTTTAGGAGCATAAAGTCCTGGGCCTGTGGCTCTCAAGAACATGGGTTTGTGAAGTATATCCCATGTTTAGGGATATAAACCTTCTTTTTTCTCTCTTCTAGCACCACTATCTGCTATTTTGCAGCTGGTCTCTCCCATCTTGCTCAGCTAGTAAAGTAAAATTTATGTATTTCTTAGTCATCATCAAATTAATTTATGGCAGTGGAGAGGCAAAAGGACATTCTCTGCATATGCTTCAAAGCTGTATATCACATTTACTAGACTAGGATGTCTGTGGTTTCCAGTTAAGAGAAAAAAATGTAATGGCAAGAAATGGGCAGGGCAGCTGTGGATCTTTGCATGCAACTGCAGAGTGAAGAACCAAGTCCTGGGACGTGGCTGATTCGACCTAGCTACTGCAGAAGAGCCAAAAGAACTTTGCAACGATTTGCTGTGTCAGACATCTTTCGATAAATCAAATGAGAAATTTCTTGCTTAAATCAGTTGTTTTCTTTGTTTGAGGTGTTGGTTGTTTAGTTCCACAGTTTTCATAAGCAGCTCTGTATCCAGCAGAAACATCATCTTGTAAAGCAATTTGCTGGCATTGCCCTCTCTCTTTCAACTGATCTCCGTGGGCAGAGACACCCAGAGATGCAGCTAATGGAGAGGGAATTACTGCCCTCCCACGTCTCTTCAACATACCTGTTGGATGCTGGCAGATGCCTCTTGGACTTCTGGCTGTACAGGGATCTCCACACACTCACTGCCAGTAAACTCACTATTGTGTAGGCACACACAAAAGCACACAGACCACATGCCTCTTGCCGAGGAGACAGGAGAAACCAACTGGTGCAAATCAGTTAAAAAAAAAAACAAAAGAAAACAAAACAAAACAAACTGAAGATGGTGACCATCTAATTTACAACTTTTCCTACTTTGTGACACCATCGGCTCTTTTTCACTTGAGTGAGTAGAAAAATAACTTCATGAGTCCAACTCTACCTTAAAACATGAGCAAAAGGCAAGGCTTGCACAGTATTTGCAGCTTAGTCTTATCTTTAAGAGGCATTGTTCTATACAAGATTTTCTTGTAGGCAGCATCACAAACACTTAGAGTTCAGTCCAAAACTCCATAGTATCAGTCAATCCACAAAATTAGTGCTATCAATAAAACAAATAATGAAAATCAAAAAAGAGTATAAAAGAGTATAAACCATTTATTTTTGAGCAATTATCCTATACAATTGTGGCTTGACTACCATTAAACCGCTAACAAAATAATAGCAAGGAATCTGACAAATATATATTCCTGAAAATCTTTCAAGTCCTGTATTACATTTGGAATGGTTTCAAATATAGAAAACATTTATAATGAGCTTATTCAGTTTGCATCTTGTACAACTTTTACAGTTTATAACTGGATAAGTATTGATGCATAAAGCTGTAATTTGCCAGTGTTGATCACAATTTATATTAAAATAAATAAGCAAATATACTGGAATGATACAAGCTGAGCGTACAGAATTCATCCTAATTACACTTGATCAGAGGCATTCAAGTAAACAGAGTCACACCATGAAATTTCCAGAAGAAAAGCAATATAGAAGCAACACTCACCACTTTGAGTAATTTTCTTCTGGTATTTAGCATTACTCCTATAAACCCATTGGCTGAAGTTACAAAATAAGATGCTTAAAACTAAATAATACAACTAGTAGGAAAAGAAACGGTGTTTCATCATCTAAAATATAATAAGCTGGATCTTCAGCTCCCATATGTGTCATCAAAGTTAAGGTTCTTCATCTTTTAATCTTAAACTAAGCACTAGGTTAGTTGTCTGTTCCCTGCCTGTTCAATGGAGGTTCAGCTTAACGAAGACACTGATTTTAGAAGGATCCACCTGTCCAAGATGCCTCTTTCTATTCCATGCATAAAGACAGCTGTCTATTTTCCTTCCCCAGCAGGAGGGAAACAATATAGAAGGCATCTAAAATCAGCCAGTGAATTTTACATGGCTCAAATTATGTGTAACAGATTGGGTCAGATCATTGAAGATTTCTAGGTGTTTCTATAATGAGGGGAGTTACAGCTCTAACTGTGTTTGTCATTTTGTCCTTTTAGGGTACAATTAATGTCCCACAAAACAGAACTTTTCTTGCTTTGTTTGGTCAGCACAAAAAAAAAAAATCAAGCCATCATACTTGGATACCCATAGCCAGCAGTCATGTTGTCCAGCTGAAGATTTGAATTGAAATTTACATCAAATATGAGCATTCAGGCAGCATTTGATCCATCCTCTTAAGGTTCCCATATGCGAAAGGAAGGCTTGTCAGGGGCATACTGGCACACCAGTAAAGAGCAGAACAAGTTTGTGTATTTGAAAGCTGCTGGTCTCTCCACTTAAAAGATAAGGACTTGGTACATCTCGTTGCTGGTGTTAACGATGTCGTTGCAGTTTTCACACACCAAGCCCACTCTTGCAGGAGTCTTCACAGTGAAGTCAAGAAGAAAAGAATCTCCAAAAGCGCTGAAGTACTTGGTCTACCCCTCTGACACAGGGGTGACATGGTGGTAGCCCTGTAGGGGAGACAGCTGCTGCTCCGAGGTAATGCAGATGAGCCATGGTTCAGAGCTGGAGAGGGGACAGGGCAGCAGGCAGAGGAGCCAGAGCTTCAGCATCCTTGTTGCTGTATGTGTCGGGTAGCTGATATTCCCAGGGGACCACCCAGGAGAGCACAGAGCGTTTGTAACCACACTTTGGTTTGTGGCAGCAAGATGTGTTTCTGGGAGGGAAAGAAAAACACCCATTGTTGAAGTTTAGCTGGAGGAAATATGTGTTCTTCAGACCTCGGTGGAATCAGAACCACACATGGTTTGTTTGAGAGACACACACGCTGAGCCAGCAGTTCATAACCGAGCAGGGGAGCAGAAATTACCCATTATGTTTTTAATTTGAAATGGACTTTAAGTATTTTCATTGTTTATTTTATGAGCCTGCATTAGAGGTGTTATTATTACCACTCCCATGGAAAAGGGTATGAATGAGGTAACACCTCTCCAAGAAAAAAAATTATGTCAGTCTTAGGATGATCTCTTTTCTTGGGTGGGGAAAGGGGATAGAAGCTGTTGTTTTTCTGATACATGCTCAGAAATTCTTAGGAAATATCACTTAATTTTCAGGACACAAAGGGAAAGCACTCGATGCCTGCAACTGATAGCCTGTTAGCCTGTGTCCTTGAAAAATAATATGCTACAAGGAAAAAATATGTAGTTCTGAAGTGTATCTCCCTTATGTCTCAAAGCATCAAGAATGAGTGATTTTAATGGATGATTAAAAACTTTCTCCCCTATATTATTGCACTGTGGGGAGCTGCCATCAGCAGTGACGTATTTGCTGCCGTGGCAGAAACGCGTGTTTCAGGCGCTGGCCTAAATGCAGATGATTGTTGGTTGGTGCTCATCTATCTGCAGTGTGATATACTTAGAAAATAAGTAACATCTGCCAGAGGCCTCACTTGCTTTGCAAGTAGGTTCAATTGGTGTCCCTTTCCTTACCCGTGGTGTGGGTACAGCCCTCACAGATGACAGGCACACGAGTGCTGCTTACAGAGAAAGTGTAGCTACCCTTAGTATCCTTAAAATATACGTGAAGTGCTGTTAGTGCTGGGCTGGGTTACCCGTTTTCTTTGTAAGGGGCTGTCAACCTCAAGCCCTCTAAAACTGTGCCAAGATGAAAAGGATCAAGAGATCTATTTTGCAATGCCATGCTCATTTTCTAAACTTTCTAGGGGGGTCTCAAGTCACATTTCCAAGTTTCCCCATGCAGAATTGTTCCTTTCCAAATGTCAGGTTTTCTGGGACGGTGGCAGCAAGAACTGAGTTGGTCAGTCCTGTGCTTCTTGGACCCAGGGCTTTACTAGAGAGCAACAACTATCATAAATTAGTATTGCAAGCATTGACAACACAATCAGTAGATGAGAAGAGAGCTTTTGCCCAACAAACCTTGCTGCGCTATTAAAGGCACCATTTTGAAATATGAAAGGCTTAAACGTGAAGAAGGAAATGTTTCAGCTCATCCGGGAGGAGAAGTCCGGTTATTTTTTGATGCTGCTTGTGTCCAAAGCACCTCCTGATGCACAGGCGGCACAACTGCATCAAGGACAGCGGCCCTGGAGAAAGAGCCAGGGAAGAGGTTACACATGTGCCTTTATCATCCCGAGATAGTAAAGCTGAAATGGCAGCTGAGCATCGTTGCCTGTCTCAGCTGTGCAATGTCCCCCACCCTTGCTCTTATCTGACTTGAACCTCTAGCAGAGCAGAGCTCTCCCCACCTCCTGCAACCCACCTCGGGCATGCAGACACCCCAGAACGCTCAGCGCTGAAAAGCCGGACCTGAGCCCACCAAAGGACATCAGCCTGCCTGCATTTCAGTTCAAGACTAGTCACTCTCTGTGATTACACTGTGTTAACACTGGAAGCATCATTCTTCCCCTTTTTAAGCTGCATGAATGTGAAACAGCTCGCATTGTCTGCAAAGAGGTGATCGATGCTTCCTTCAAAGTCCTTTCCTCCTCTCACTCCCCTAGAGAAATTCAAGTTTGCCATCCATTGCTTTCTTGAGGTGTATTTCATAATAGTGACAAACACATAGCAAAAGAAATACTGTATAATCTTTTATTTAAACCTTCCAGATGAACTGGTCCCATGCTGATAAATACAAGCCCTGCTGAAGAATCCATGGTGCCTTTTCTTTTATTTGAGTATAATGGCATTACGCACTTATTTGGGGGACTTATCATTTTCACAAAGAGGTAGACCTTATGTGGTGCTTTCAGCTGTGGCACCTTTCAACTTTCAGCCACCCAACATGTCATTTGTGCCCCAGTGTGCAGCACGCAGGGGTGACAAGCGTGGAGGGTCACAGGGGGGCTGATAAGAAGGGCAGGGAAGTGGGGGCAGCAGCAAGTGTGGACATGGGAGTTGGACACTGGAAGCTGGGAGGAGATAAGAAGAGACACTGTAGAAAGTGAGAAGAAGGTAAGTTAGCTGGGAGGGGACAGTTTGGGTGCCACCCACCATGCCTGTGCTGGGTGAGTGAGATAGTGGGCACCCGAGCACTGAAATGTTAGTGGTGGTGGAGGAGGAGTCCAGCGTGGTGGGAAGGAACAGGGGTTGCAGAAAAATGCAAGTGAGGTGGCAGCTTTAATCAGCTTTTAAGTCTTTCCTCATGCAGGACACAAAGTTTCCAGCAGCTCGGCAAGGCTGAACATGCTGCACTATTTAAAGGGCTGTGCAAAGGGCTGCACCCTCCTCCTACGAGTCAGCAGATGAGTTGCCCTGTGCTTGGGTACAAGAAGACAAGCCAAGCTGATACGGGGCACGTGAGACTGGCTATTGCAGTGTCACACTGCACGTGCATTTGGCCATTCTGAACCCACAGATGAGTGCCCTGCCTGTAACATCTCATCTAGAAAAGCTTCCACTGAAAAAGAAAAAACTAAAGTTTTCTCAAAACACAATCAATGTCCCTACACTGCAAATATTTAGCAAGGGCAAGCATACTCTTCAAATACACTGTGCATTTCTGGATCATCAGCTAATTCTCCCATCCGCACATAGGACTATCCCCGCAACGCAAGGAGGGTATGCAATGGTCCAGTAGCATCGTGAAGTTCTGGGAAGGGCAACCACCACACATAGTATACCTGCTCTAGGCTAATCCTATGGCAACTCTGGGTCGGTGCACTTACCAACTCATCCCTGGTGAAAAAACATGCTCCCTCCAACCTGCACTGGCCATGGGCCTGGGGCTGCTGCCCCCCAGCATCTGGGAGTGGGGCAGGAGAGCAGTAGCTTGGCCATGCTGGTGCTGAGGTGCTGTAGGGCTGGTAGGGCGACTCTGATCCCTGCAGCACATTGCCAAACCTCTGCATGAAACCAGAGGGATAACGTTTGCACCACTCTCCCTGGTTGCAACTGTTCAGCTGGCCAACCAAGTTAGAAATCAGCTGCCCATCTTGGAGAAGGGCACGTTAGAGAACATTGGACAAACGCTATTCAGCTGCAAAATGCCCTTCAGGCATTTATCCTTTCTGATTTCAATTGCTGAATTTCACTTAGAAGAGTTCCTCACTGCCTGAGCTGTCAGCTGAGCTCGAGCAGCACTTCTTGGGCCAGCTCCATAGGGTGTGCCTGAAATGTTTTTTTTAATCTCAAATAAACAGGACACATGGAGTGCCACAGGAGTCAGGAATCCAACACAGCAGGGATTGGAGTTCAAAAAGATCACCGCTCTGTGCAGCATAGATTAGGCTAGGAAACAAACATCCATTGCTCATACATAACATGCACAGCACAGCTGTTTTCACACTATTATTTTTGTGTTACTGTTTTGAGCAGGGCCTGATTCATCACTTTTATTCCAGCTTTAGCTTGGCATAAGAAGTCTTTCATTTTAAAGATGCTTTTTTTCACCTACATAAGAACTTGGCCCAGCAATTAAAGGGCAAAAAACTAGAAGAAGAGTCTTTCAATATACCTTTTTTTTTTTCAGCATCACATGCATTGAAAACTTTCTGCTCGCAATTTTGCATTTACTCTGAGATGAGTATCTGGCATGTAGCTGATCGTCAGCATCCTACATAACCAAAGATCCCAGTCCTAGTGCTCACCAGTTAGCCTCAACTCCCATCAGAGATGATTTTCTGCCTGTGCTTGTCAGCACACTCCAGATAACACTCCTGGGTCTACTCCCATCTCAGTAACAAGGGAACTGAGAGACTCCCACTGACTTCAGTGCTTTATGCAATCAGAAAAAGCCACCATTAATTTCTACAGAGCGTTTTGCTTGGTTTTTCACTCAAAAGTTAATTTTGCATTATATTGCAAGCCCCATACAATTACTCCCTGGTGAGGTGGATTCACAACCTGGAGGTTGGAAGAGGAGTTATGGTTGTCATCCCTATTAGTGCACCACTATATTCTGACACTAGAAAACATAGCATCCATGTGTCAGCAAATGGAGGTAAGCTTAGTTATCGACAGTTTTGGAGCACTTGTAGCATGGAATAGCACAGCCTTTTGCAGCAGTTTGTGTCGTTTTTCCCTACCTAATCCCAAGTGAATGAATAAAAGAAGTGCTAAGGAGCACCTTCTTTCTGCAGGAAGAGTCGGCCCACAGCGCTGCTGGCTGGCACCAGCTCCATCGGCCTCTTGTTTTCGGCGTTCTTCACCCAAATGTCTGCTCCAAAGTCAATCAGCAGCGTCACCAGCTCCGCACTGCAATTCCTGGCAGCCGCGTGCAGAGGAGTGTCCAGACCCTTGCCTCTGTTCACATTTGCTCCTGAATACCAAGAGATGACAAAGAATAATGACTATACAGGAGCCTATGTCCACTTCCTGCACTAGCTGCTATTTCTCCGAAACACCCGTAAATGGTGTAGCATTTAGAAATGGATCTCCTTACACTGGGGCTTGGTACTAGAACTTGCACCTGCACAACTCACAGTGGTTGAGGAGGAGTAGAGTTGTGACTAAGAAAATCATTCCAGAGGAATAGTGCATGAGGAAGTCCTTCATCCACAGCACAGCTCATGGATATCTTGAAGGAGGACATGGTTCCACCTACTGCCCATCTTTGCTGCCCATCCCAGTGCACTGTTCCCTTAAAACACGTGCAGGGTTTCAGCCTGTTCTGCACCAGAGGCTTAAGCCAGTGGGATTTCCAAATACTAAAGTACCTGTTGGGGAAGAAAAATGAGGATGGAAATGTTCTAGAGGTCATTGGTAGAGGAAGATATGAGTGTTCCCTCATTTGTTATCCTGGGGTAATGGCTCCTAAAACACCCTAAGAAGGGTGAGCTGCAAAACTAATTCAAAACTATTTGCAGAGTTTTCAAAACTATTTGAACTACTATCATGAGCTTATAGTACACATTCTTGTACATAGAAGGCAGCAAAAAAGAAAATGGCAGAAACCAGAAAATAATATTCACATTTAATATTTAGATTAATTTGTATTTAAATATATATAAAAAAAGATCACTGTGCTAAATAGGGCATAAGGTGATCTACATGATGTTTGCCTGTTTTTTCCAAAGCAACTTTCTTGGTCCATCATTTTTGTACTATGTGGCTACTTTATGTTGTATGGCCCCTTTGGTTAGAAAAGTTGCACTACAGTAGATAACAAGAAATGGTCTTGTAAAATTATCCAACTGCTTAGACTTAGAGCTAGGTTTGTTTGATGCAAAGTATATAGTGCTGAACATTTTTCTGTGTTGGAAAAATTTCAATCTTTTTATGAACTCAGTGAGAAGAAAAACATGTTTGCAGAAATACTGTGTAAAAATGGTTAAGTCAATTGTTTTGGCTAAAGAGGGAAGAAAAGTAAAAAAGGAATTTTTTTCACTTCAAATAACTGCGGAGTCACACACACAGACATTGGAAAAGATGGTGTTTGTTCCAGGCACCACCAGACATGTGAAATCCAGGACCACCCATCATTTTGTTGGGAGCTGTAAAGCTGGGTTCCTGGGTCAGGAAGACCCTGGTTACCCTGCTACCCCATTTAACCCAGGGCTGCCATTAAGAGCAAAACATCTCCTCGTCCCAGAGCAGGAGCTTCTCTAAATTTTTGATGCAAGGGGAATCCAAAGATAGATGTTGCAGGAAACAAAAGTACACCATCCATTATTTTTCTTTTTACCTGACTCAAGTAACTTCTTGGCACAGTTCACTTGCTGATGCTCACAAGCTACATAAAGCGGAGTACCCAGATGCTTGATGTTGTGATCTATATTTACCCCATGGGATGCAAGGAATTCGACACATTGCACATGACCTTAAAAGGGATTAAAGGAAGAGTCAACTCACAGAGATCAGGCATTTTTTCAGCAAATTCCCTATTGCAGTAGTGTAATTTGGCAAAGATTCAATGTTTTGTCAAGAGATGGTAGTGTAATACTTTCATTCACTCCAGTGTTTCTAACCTGGAAAGCCAGTTAGCAAAACAGGCTAAAGCCCTCGCATTTTATCTGACTCATTTCAGATGTCTACAGAAGATGAGACAAATCATGCTGTGTTTCCCTCCACTGCTTCTGAAGATAGCCAGACAACTCTCTCAGATGTCCACATTGTCGGCAACTGACTTGGACAACACAACCCCTTCCAGGAGTGACCACATGAACTCAGAGGCCCTGAGAGCCCAACCGAGCTGCCCTTGGTGAGCACCTGAGGTGGAAGGAACTGCACTACTCACAATGAGACCAACTGGGAAGGTATTTCACACGACCCAAATAAAGAAAACCGTCTTCTTTCTCTCTTTTTTCTACCTCAATGCATTGCTAATAACATGGAAAGGGGTGCTGAAGCCCATGGGGTTACCTCTTTTAGCAGCTTCATGGATGGGGGATGCCAAGTCACAGGGTGGGTGTAAGCTGGCTCCATGCTGCAGCAATAAATTCAAGCAAGCCACGCTGCCACTGACACAAGCACTGAACAAGGGAGTGTGCCAGTCAACAGTAACTCCATTCACCTGGGGGAAAAAAAAAAAAACCACAACCAGGCTTTTTGTTCTTCTTCTCAGTACTTCAAAATAGATTAAATTTATCCAGTTTCTCAACAGAAAATATGATTCTCAAAACTTTTTATTTAATTCCTTGCAAAAACTGACTTCTGAGGATTACAATTTTTTATTAAAAAGATAATTGAAAAAATATTTTTTAAAATTGCCCTTAAGTCTCTCTTCCTTGCAAAGAAATATCTAACCAATGCTGCTCCGAGGTCTCTCAGGAGTTACCAAGTTACTCAGTTGAATGTGTGCCCATTTTTGGTTATCTCAGCTGAAACACACCTGCCCATTGCCCTGTCCTGAAATAGTCCGTTTTTAGCTGGAAGTGTGCAGCCCCACCTTTTTAAAAAAAAAAATTAAACTGAAAGGCAATGTACAGATAGTGAGTTAATTTTCTTATTCACTATAATTTTAACATTAGTTCAAAAAATAAAGGCCATGAGGCAGGCCCATTTCACCATTGTACTTGCCTTTTTTTTTTCCATTTTCTTCTCATTTTATCATCAGTTGATCCTAACAGTCCTTCACCTCTACTTAAGACACTGCATATTGACACCAATGGGATTAGTATGTCCAGAAAATAAAATGCACCCTTAACTGTTGCAGGATTATAAACCCTTTGAAGGATGAACTTCCACTTATTTTTTCAGTAAATGATGAGAACATTGCACCTTCATCTAAAGAACAATAATAACTGTTGCTTTGTTAAGAAGTGCATTTTATAACATAGGTACTTTAAATGGGGCTAAGTGCAGAGTGTACGTCATGGCGATACGCTGTTGTGACATGGTGTGATAAATGTGATAAAACAACATACTAACAGTGGAGACAATGGTCTGCCCATCATGCACTCACCTGAGCTCCATGTTTTAATAGGACACTGGCACAAGCGGCATGACCCCCCAGGCAGGCTTCATGGAGAGGAGACACCTGGTCTGCTGTAACAAGATTCACATCACTCCCCTGATGAATTAATAGAAAATATCATTACAACCGATTACCAAAACCCCCATACAAACCAAAAATAAAATATCCCAAACCCTTTCTGTTACAACCTTTAAAGCTTTATGTAACCACACCGTAACTACCAAAACCCCCATGCAAACAAAAAAAAATATCCCAAACCCTTTCTGTTACAACCTTTAAAGCTTTATGTAACCACACCGTCTGCAACTGTCTGGAGTTGCTCATCTCAATAGGTAAGCAGAGAAAGAGGCTGTGGTGCTTTGGCTGGAGTGGGTACTGGCACAGCATACCAGAGGTCATGCCTTCTACACACTGCTAATTGCTGCAGAAAGCTGTAGGCAGTGATCTGTCCAATGGGACAATACAGATATCCTTTTAGGAACTGAGCATAAATTTATTTCTGCCTCACCGTGAATAACAAACTCTGAAATAAGAAAAAAAGTATTAAAAATTGCTCTCAGAGTTCTTGGCAGGATCGTGACTGCTACCGTTTTACATCATTGCTCAAGCATTCTGACCTCCTGCCTGCTAAGTCTGCAGTTGTTTGACTGGATCAAGTCCTGAAATGCTTTTGAGGTGTTTTCTGGCCTTTGGTCAGAGCATGGCATTTCCTTTGAAGGAAAGCCAGCGCCTGCATTAGAAACCATTAGTTTGATTCTACAGGATCTCTTGTTTCTATCTGTCTTGGTGTTCTACAGGTTAAGCTCAAGGAGTTTCCAGTTTTCCAATAATCCTTCCCTTTCTGTAAAATCCTCCAAAGGCTAAATCCAAGTATTTTTAAGAAATGGAGCAGTGAGGTTTAGAAATTGCTTCTCCCTAGCCATGCCTTCTGCAGCCAGAGCAGGGGCCCCAGGTACCCTCAGGCTCTTCAGAAAGAGTTGTGTGGGTGGCTGCATCGAAGACTCACCCGAAGCCTTGCCTGGGTCCAGAACTGCCCCCAACCCACAGCACCAAACACTGCTCACAGGGAGCTGCAGAATGAATCCCCCAGCCACACAGAGATCCCAGAGGCCTGGGTCCAGACTTAAAGTAAAATATAACCCAGGGTATTTTGATACATCACCAGCTCAGCACCCAGAGCTTGCGCTTGTATAGGAACTGCTTGTAGAAAAATAAAAATAAAAAAAAAAAATGTTACATGCAGATTTCACTGCATTCTGGTCAACATGGTCTATTTTTTCATGGTTTTCTTTTCCTTACCCTAAAAGTTTCACAGTAAAGCACAGACTGCATTCAACACCTGAACAAACCCAGCAGAGACCCTATCAGCCCAGCTGAGAGGTACCTGTTTGATGAGTTTCTTCAGAGTAAGCAGACGCCCATGGATAGAGGCATCATGTAAAGGAGACCAGTCTGAAACAAAATCTGTATAAAGAGAAAGACAGGAAAAATGCTAACAACTCCCTGGACTGTTTCATCAGTGTTTTTTACTTTAGCTGTATGACCCCAGTAAACCTTTCTAATTTATTACATGAGCTGCCAAGCTTTCCTTGGAGCAGCTGCCAGGAAGGAGCGAGACAAGAGAACGGCTTCTCCCTGGGTGTGTTTTTAACTCATCCCATGTTGGCGCCGAGCATCTGTGCTCTCCTTCAGAAGATGAGAGAAAAATTTGCAGAACATCACCTTGCTCTGACTGAGCTTGTCCCTCACTTCGAATTGTTGCCAGTGCTTTTATTTTCACAAGCTCATTACACTTTACCAATTAGTGCAGGACTACATTTTGAAGAGGGAATGGCTGCTCAGTCATTTACCCCTGCTCAGAGATGGGCTAAAGTCAACAATACCTAATAAAGAGAAGGTACCAAAGTACAAGGAGATAAGTCTGTTGATTTTGCCTCTCGGTTTTTAGTGTTTGGTGTGTGCAGCAGTGCATTTTTAGTAATAGCTATATTCTGTGTCACTGACACCACAAAGTGAGTTACGGCATGTATGGAGGGAAGCTCAAAGGAAGGGTCTACCTCAGCTTGTAGGGACAGCTGAGGTCATGGGACAGGATGTATGCTGCATGGCAGTGAGGACACAGACCCAGCCTGTGAGGGGTGAGTTAGGTCATAAACTGTCCCACTACTATGATAAATGCACTGATATTTTAAGTGTCCATATAAAGCAACCATATTCATATTTGCTCTTATAAGGTCTTATGTGAAAGATTGACTTCAAGTCACCTTGCCAGACAGCTGAGGCAGCACAAAAGGTCCATGTCAGAAACTGAATTTCAGTTAATGTTCTCAAGTAATCTTGGTACATAAAGTCTGATGTTCATAAAAAGACCACATGACAAATGGTATGGAAATGAGTCAGCATAGCTCAGGCTGGATCAAGGAGGTATGGGAGGGAATTTTTAGGGTTAACTTTGGTGCCAAACCTCTCAAGTCATGTAGAGTGCTTTTCTGAAAGATCTTTTTGCTAAGCAAAAGCATTATTTAATGTATTTTACATGACAAGCCTATTTTCCCTCAATTATGCTGTGTAACATAAAGGTCTGAGGAAATACTTAATGCTAATGACTGCTGTAGTTGTTGTATCTGTTCTTTATTTTAATATAGTGAAGCAAACTCCTTTTGTGAGGAACATACAAATATTAATAGAAGGGAATCTTCAGTATTACAGATTTTATGGCTCAGAGCCAGCTGACAACATTAATCCCTCTGGGAGACATTTACCTGCTTCAGCATTCATTGCCTCAAAACCCCATGTTTGGTCTACATCAATGGCTCAGGTTCCTCCTGGAAAGGAAGAGAAGCATTTCCAGAGGGTATTTCACCCAGCTTCTTTTGGAAACACGCTTTGCTGCTCTCTGGAGATGTCCCCACTCTCCTACCACTAACAGCAGAGAAAACCCCAATGACAAATTGGATGAGTTGCTGAGGTTCTCAGGGACTACTCTAGATCACGTGTGTGGAATAGGATGCTTGACAGTGAGAATTCTTCCTTCAGCAACAAAACCTAGTAAGCCACCATCATTCTTTAAAATAACGTTTACAGATTAGCTGATGATGACAGGGTTTATGCAAGATCTACAGACCTTCTCTCAGGTCTTTAAAGCTTTATGTAACCACACCGTCTGCAACTGTCTGGAGTTGCTCATCTCAATAGGTAAGCAGAGAAAGAGGCTGTGGTGCTTTGGCTGGAGTGGGTACTGGCACAGCATACCAGAGGTCATGCCTTCTACACACTGCTAATTGCTGCAGAAAGCTGTAGGCAGTGATCTGTCCTATGGGACAATACAGATATCCTTTTAGGAACTGAGCATAAATTTATTTCTGCCTCACCGTGAATAACAAACTCTGAAATAAGAAAAAAAGTATTAAAAATTGCTCTCAGAGTTCTTGGCAGGATCGTGACTGCTACCGTTTTACATCATTGCTCAAGCATTCTGACCTCCTGCCTGCTAAGTCTGCAGTTGTTTGACTGGATCAAGTCCTGAAATGCTTTTGAGGTGTTTTCTGGCCTTTGGTCAGAGCATGGCATTTCCTTTGAAGGAAAGCCAGCGCCTGCATTAGAAACCATTAGTTTGATTCTACAGGATCTCTTGTTTCTATCTATCTTGGTGTTCTACAGGTTAAGCTCAAGGAGTTTCCAGTTTTCCAATAATCCTTCCCTTTCTGTAAAATCCTCCAAAGGCTAAATCCAAGTATTTTTAAGAAATGGAGCAGTGAGGTTTAGAAATTGCTTCTCCCTAGCCATGCCTTCTGCAGCCAGAGCAGGGGCCCCAGGTACCCTCAGGCTCTTCAGAAAGAGTTGTGTGGGTGGCTGCATCGAAGACTCACCCGAAGCCTTGCCTGGGTCCAGAACTGCCCCCAACCCACAGCACCAAACACTGCTCACAGGGAGCTGCAGAATGAATCCCCCAGCCACACAGAGATCCCAGAGGCCTGGGTCCAGACTTAAAGTAAAATATAACCCAGGGTATTTTGATACATCACCAGCTCAGCACCCAGAGCTTGCGCTTGTATAGGAACTGCTTGTAGAAAAATAAAAATAAAAAAAAAAAATGTTACATGCAGATTTCACTGCATTCTGGTCAACATGGTCTATTTTTTCATGGTTTTCTTTTCCTTACCCTAAAAGTTTCACAGTAAAGCACAGACTGCATTCAACACCTGAACAAACCCAGCAGAGACCCTATCAGCCCAGCTGAGAGGTACCTGTTTGATGAGTTTCTTCAGAGTAAGCAGACGCCCATGGATAGAGGCATCATGTAAAGGAGACCAGTCTGAAACAAAATCTGTATAAAGAGAAAGACAGGAAAAATGCTAACAACTCCCTGGACTGTTTCATCAGTGTTTTTTACTTTAGCTGTATGACCCCAGTAAACCTTTCTAATTTATTACATGAGCTGCCAAGCTTTCCTTGGAGCAGCTGCCAGGAAGGAGCGAGACAAGAGAACGGCTTCTCCCTGGGTGTGTTTTTAACTCATCCCATGTTGGCGCCGAGCATCTGTGCTCTCCTTCAGAAGATGAGAGAAAAATTTGCAGAACATCACCTTGCTCTGACTGAGCTTGTCCCTCACTTCGAATTGTTGCCAGTGCTTTTATTTTCACAAGCTCATTACACTTTACCAATTAGTGCAGGACTACATTTTGAAGAGGGAATGGCTGCTCAGTCATTTACCCCTGCTCAGAGATGGGCTAAAGTCAACAATACCTAATAAAGAGAAGGTACCAAAGTACAAGGAGATAAGTCTGTTGATTTTGCCTCTCAGTTTTTAGTGTTTGGTGTGTGCAGCAGTGCATTTTTAGTAATAGCTATATTCTGTGTCACTGACACCACAAAGTGAGTTACGGCATGTATGGAGGGAAGCTCAAAGGAAGGGTCTACCTCAGCTTGTAGGGACAGCTGAGGTCATGGGACAGGATGTATGCTGCATGGCAGTGAGGACACAGACCCAGCCTGTGAGGGGTGAATTAGGTCATAAACCGTCCCACTACTATGATAAATGCACTGATATTTTAAATGTCCATATAAAGCAACCAGATTCATATTTGCTCTTATAAGGTCTTATGTGAAAGATTGACTTCAAGTCACCTTGCCAGACAGCTGAGGCAGCACAAAAGGTCCATGTCAGAAACTGAATTTCAGTTAATGTTCTCAAGTAATCTTGGTACATAAAGTCTGATGTTCATAAAAAGACCACATGACAAATGGTATGGAAATGAGTCAGCATAGCTCAGGCTGGATCAAGGAGGTATGGGAGGGAATTTTTAGGGTTAACTTTGGTGCCAAACCTCTCAAGTCATGTAGAGTGCTTTTCTGAAAGATCTTTTTGCTAAGCAAAAGCATTATTTAATGTATTTTACATGACAAGCCTATTTTCCCTCAATTATGCTGTGTAACATAAAGGTCTGAGGAAATACTTAATGCTAATGACTGCTGTAGTTGTTGTATCTGTTCTTTATTTTAATATAGTGAAGCAAACTCCTTTTGTGGTGAGGAACATACAAATATTAATAGAAGGGAATCTTCAGTATTACAGATTTTATGACTCAGAGCCAGCTGACAACATTAATCCCTCTGGGAGACATTTACCTGCTTCAGCATTCATTGCCTCAAAACCCCATGTTTGGTCTACATCAGTGGCTCAGGTTCCTCCTGGAAAGGAAGAGAAGCATTTCCAGAGGGTATTTCACCCAGCTTCTTTTGGAAACACGTTTTGCTGCTCTCTGGAGATGTCCCACTCTCCTACCACTAACAGAAGAGAAAACCCCAATGACAAATTGGATGAGTTGCTGAGGTTCTCAGGGACTATTCTAGATCACGTGTGTGGAACAGGATGCTTAACAGTGAGAATTCTTTCTTCAGCAACAAAACCTAGTAAACCACCATCATTCTTTAAAATAATGTTTACAGATTAGCTGATGATGACAGGGCTTATGCAAGATCTACAGACCTTCTCTCAGGTATGTTGCATGTCCACAGGAGAGCTGAACCCCTTATGGCTGATGCCCTGCCCCTTCTGGCTATGCCATGGTGGGCTTCAATGGGGTCATAACCAACTGTGTGAGCCTTCTCCCACCCTGTTGGGCTATTATTCTCCACTTTCAAACATGCTTAGTAAAGGACATCAAATTTCAAGGAGATAAGGTCTAGTCTAGCAAGACTTACAACAGTGTTGTGATTGAAAAATTCTGTGCTGAGTAAATTGTGACCTGAAGATGGTGGTATCTGAAATGTGTTGTCTGTTACACACAAAAGATCTTTGCCTGCACAACTGTTTTAGGCAGGGGTGGGAATTTTTGCTAGCACAGTGGCTGCAAAAGGTCTGCTATAGATTTATAGTCATTCTTGCAAAACTCTTTCATAACTCTGCAGTATATTTGTCTAGAGATATTCATATAGGCGAAAGGATATTTCTGCACACAATTTTTTGAGCCACTTCATGTCCATCACAATGCTCCTTTCCATAGCACACTTTTGCAGATATGTACATATTGCATTTTACTGTCTCTGAACAAAGACTCATTGATGGACTCAACTCAGGTGAATTTTAATGTTTCCCTTCTTGGACATCAAAAATGTGGGTCTCTAACAAGCAGCTAGTCAAATTGGTAGCACAGACACATCACAAGAGGGAACCTAAGTGGTCCCTGTGATAGTTCTTGTTTGAATGAAGTAATTAAAAAAAATCTAGCAGAAAAATCAAGACTTCACCTTCTTTTGTGAGAATCCTTCCCTAACTGTGCTCCAGCCTTCTCCTGTCTCACAGAAAAATCCCAGTGATGTCCTGGAAATAACCTCAGGCTGAGTTTCAAGTTTGGAGAAAGTTGAGCTATGAGTGGACCAAGGCCCTTAGGAACAGGGATCTTATCAGGGATGATTGAACAAGCAGCTGATTCAGGATTTTCACTATTTCTCCCCATTTCCCTGTCTCTGGTTATGACTGCTAATTGTTTAGGGGAAGGGAAATGGGGAGGGCTTGTATAAAATAGCAGGTAATTCGTTGGTTTATTACTGGTCACCCTTTGGGGCCAGAAATGAAGTTTATTTTGTGTTCACTGGAGACAGGACTCGGACCTGGTGGCTGGAGCTTCTGTTACCTGGTCAGTATATTTTGCTCGTAAGTGCAGTTAAAATGGCTATCAGCCTTGAAGGCTGAAAGACAGATATCTTGGAGAACAGGCTGGGAGGGACCATCAGCCCTGGGGCGCGGGGCACAATCTCTTTCCTGCAGTCTCCCCAGGGTGAAAGCTCGGTGCCTTCTGCTCCTCTTGGCATGTATTTGTTATAGCTGTGGCTTTGGGTCTTTTCCTTTAGATCATAAGTTTATTGCCAGGGAACTGGGAAGGTGTTAAGTGATCTACTGACCATGGTTTATGGACTAGGTGTTTGGTGGACCCTTTGAAACCTGCTATCTATTCCACTGCTATCTCTGACTGAGATTATGCAGACTTGGTAGGTAAACCTGCACTGCCAAGTAAAGAAAGGCAGGAGGATAATTCAGCACTAAGCTTTAAGCAGATGAAGGCGTGAAGGCAAATAAGTCTGCACCCTTTGATCTCAAAGACAGAAATAGTCCCAATTTCTTTTATTTAGCAGTATAGAAATAGCTAACAAGATGGGAAACTCCATCAGCCAAGTGATCTTTTCCAGTCTTGTATTACTTAAACTATGAAAGTCAAAAGGAAAAAAATGAGAAACTGAGAATCAACACAACCTTCACAGGCACAGAAAGATTCATCAACTAAGATGTGATTCAAATTTGGAGAAGCTTCAAAATTAGAAGGCCAAAGGATGGAAGAGATGTAACCCCAATATAGCTTTACGGGCAGCACCGAGTACGTGAAATGAAAAGAGGAATGAACTAAGGAAATCTGGATAATGTACATCAATTCGTTTTTAAAGAAAATTGTATTCTTTGTTATTGGCATCATTTGAGCTCTGCCCACCTCCTTCTACATTCTACGGACCTTGTCCCACAACAAACACGAAGTTCACAAACATCCTTTGGCTTTAGCAAATGGACAGCCATTTCCAGAAGCTGTGATTCTGGTCTCGTAAGAATAACCAAACTATACTACAATTATTAAAGCACAGTATTATTAATTGACTAGACAGCCTTGCTTCGTGACTGAGACTATGCAGACTTGGTAGGTAAACCTGCACCACAACAAACACAAAGTCATCCTTTGGCTTTAGCAAATAGACAGCCATTTCCAGAAGCTGTGATTCTGGTCTCATAAGAATAACCAAACTATACTACAATTATTAAAGCACAGTATTATTAATTGACTAGACAGCTCTGCTTCAAGTGATGTGTGTCAAACGATGATTATCTGACCATGCTGTTGTTCTTGTTGATCCTGCCTGTGTTACCATTGGTTGTGTATCCAGGCTCTGTAAAAAGCTTTTGATTTACCCATTTAGAAACCAATGCCATTGCCCAATCTACATGAGTTGCACGGAAAACATGTTTATAGTAATTCTAAAAATCTAGATTGAGGAACAAGTTTTCTGAGCTGCAGCTTGATTTTTTTTTAGCCACACAAATACAGGCGGGGTTTTGTGCAAACTACCAAGTTGTTATATCATTGTGTCAGCATTCTGGTAACAAAGAGGGAGGTGCACAGTCATGCCATCACATCCATGTGCAGAATTTGTCCATTCAGTGTTCTCTGGAGAAAAGGCAGATTTCTACTGAGACTCTAAAAAAGAGCCAAACTAGACCACAGTCACCTATGAATTGGCCATTAGCTTGTATTTTTGCTAAGTCTTAACATAAAATTAAAAGATTGACCACATAAGCATCAAAAATAAATGTGAGGAGAAAATAAGAAGAGGTATGTGCCAACACGTCATAACACAGTTGGGAATTCTGTACTGAGAAGAACCGAGGCTTTTAGTCTGTGGAGTCTTTAGAAGTGGAGGCCTATGGTAGCTTCACACCAGCCTTGGATACATTGGGAAGAAGGGGTTTAAAGGCCTGCCTGATGACTAATTACCACAGCATACTTTCGAATCTGCTGCCATAAACAGTATGGCCCCAAGCTGCCACCTCGCCTGCCCTAGCTCTCTCTGCAGCAAACACCTCCACCCTGAAGCAATGCCAGCGGGGCAACCTCCCTGCAGGGGAAGGCAAATTTCCCCAGTTCCTGTTCCCAGGGCATCACCCTCTGGTAAACCACTAAGTTTTCTGCCTGCTCCAGGCTGGAACTTGTGTTTCTCGCCTGGTCAAGGAGGGAGTGTTCACTGGGTGTTGGGGTCTCATGCCCACTTCCGCACAGCACAGGAGGCATGGTGTCAATAATATAACCAAGCAGTATTTATACCATATATGGACTTTTGATTAAAGCCTAAGCAAAGTCCAGTGGCCATGGACTTTTAAAATCCTGAAACAGGGACTTTCAGGAAAGTCCTCAAAACACCTTGCCCACCAGAGCTGCCCATGAAGGAGCAAGGCCAGTGCATGTGGGTGGCACAACTTTATTCACCACATGTACCATCACAGCAGCAAGGATTTCTGGTTGCCAAAATTATGTACAACTGCTCTTTCACAGAGGAACAAGACCATTTATCCAAATTTGAAATTTACCCATGTTAGTCCACAGGCAAGCTGTGTCAGGCCCCAGAACCTTCAGCATCTAGTCATCCAAAACCGCACTGACTTTCAGTGGCATTGGATCACTTAGCTCCCTTTTCACCACTGAAAATCCCAGCTAGCCCAGAGGTTACATTAAATCTTTGGTCATATTTGATTGCACAGCCATCACTTGGGCACATGAACTCTGTCAGGGTGGTGTATACAGAGGGAGCCTTATAGCAATAACCACACAAACATGCAAACCCTGTGAACAGCAGAGCATTCACAGGACCTTTCTAGAATAGCACTAATTTTTGTGGTGATGGCTGAAAGCATCCTTTTCCAGCCTGTGACCACACGGAGGGTGTTGCACACTCCATGCTTGTCCCCAGGCTGTTTTCCTTCTGTGGTGGTCATACATGGTGCAGCTCGCAAGGGGGGCTTTGAAATCCGTTCGGCAGAGATATGCCCTTGCATACATACATGCCTATGGCATTATATATAACAGTATTGCAAATGGTATTTTTCATTTTCTAAGGCTTTTCCCTAAAGTTTGTGATACAAGTAGCCTGAGCCAAATACATTTCTGCTGTAAGTAGCCAGCAAAGCTTATTGACTCTGCTAAAGAGTAAGCATACGTGAGAGGAATGGACTGAACTCTGAATTCCAAAGGACTGAATGATCTGTGTGCAGCAGTGTGGTGCGTGGGCTCCCCTCCTCCCAGCCTCCATTTTGCTGCAGCTCATCTCCAGTGAGGACCTCGTTCCATTCATACTGTTAATAACATCTCCATCCTTTCCATCCCACCCCAGAGTCTGGATGTACATACACGACACGCATGAGGAGAGGCAGACAACACAGCAGATATACTGTTTGTCTTTGCATTGTGGCTTGAGGGTCTTAATTTTATATTTGGTATGAATGGAAGCATCCTGAACAGCCCAAAAAAGGTGTGAGGACAGTGTAAAGTCACATAATCTCAACTGACCTCATTCCCTCTGCACTCACCATGTCGTAGGAGTAACTTCGCAGAAAACAGAGCTACAGGGTACACGTCCAGCTAAACAGTTATGTGAAGTTAAGCTACTTGTCTTTTGTCACCACATCATATTTTCAATGGCTTTCGGCCAGACAACAGAGGAATGATCAGAGTGAGGCTGTTTGTCTGAATAACTGTTCACTGGTGACCACAACAGCGTTGGGCACAACTGACGACAACTCTCTGGCCATTGTGGAAGAATCCACTAGGGCTGGTGGCTCATTCTGGGCAATAACACTTGGATCCGCTCATCTGAAAGAAAAGGAAGAAGGAAAAAGGGAAAAAGAAGAAGAAGAACTAGAAGAATAACAGGAAGAAGAAAAAGAAAAGAAGAAGAAAAAGAAGAAAGGAAAAAAAATAAGAAAAAGAAGACAAGAAGACAAAAAAAGGAAGAAAAAGAAGAAGTAGGAAAAGAAGAAGAAAAAGAAGGAAAAAGAAGAAGAAAAAGTTAAAGAAAAAGACATAGAAAAGCAGGAAAAGAAGGAGGAAGGAAAGGAAAAGAAAGAAAAGAGGAACTGAGCCAGTGCTGAGTTTCCAGCTGGCACTAATCTAAATCAAACATGCCACATTGCAACTTCTACTTCAGCGTGCTGTGGTTCAGATACTGCATTTGTTTCTGCTTGTACAAACTGCAGTACAGAATCGGACACTCTTTTCTGTGAAACACCAAAAAAAAGACCCCAAAAATTCAGTATTAAATAAGAATAGCTTATTAAAACCCCTTCTGGAGTGTGAGGGCATGGGGACGTTGTGCATGGGGACTGAGCGCAGACCTGCCCTGGTAGGGGGACATCAGGAGAAGCACACCACCGTAGTCTGACCCTGCCCTTTGCAGCTGCTGGCAGAGGCAAAGGCTTGTGGCGAGGCAGGAGCGTTACTTACCCCTCATCAGCGGGTTTGATAGAGACGTTGCAGATGCCTGGTCTCCGGCTCCTTGCAATTTGCTGGCGTTTTGACTTGTCTCCTCCTCATCCATCTCAGCCCCGTCTGTCCAATTTCTGTTTTTTCACTTAGCGGTTGGTCTCGAGAGTTCAAATTCCATCGTCCCCGGTGAGCCCCCGGCAGTGGGAGTAATTTATTAAGCAGACTCTGCACGCACAAGGCGAACAGACCTTGCAGCAGACCGGGGACGTGGTGGTGCAGGCAGCGCTTTGTGCAGAAACTCGAGTACCTGGGTTGGGATTTAACGAAGCAGCTCCCCGGCTGCCCTGGGAGGCAGCCAGCGATCCAGCGAAGCGAGAGATGTGCCTGATGTCACATCCTCCCCAACACGGCACCCAATCGGGGCGCCCGCCATCCGTTTTTTATCAGGAAGGAAATTCTGAGTTTGCCAAAAAAAAAAAAAAAAATCCAAAAAAAAAAACCCCGAGACAGAAAGAGCCAGTTCAACTCGTTGAGCAAACTCTGCCTGCAGGGGATTTTGCAAAGAAAACCCGCAGAGATAGGAGCGGGCGCGGATCAGCACCGCTCCCCAGCAAGTTGTTTGCTGGCAAGTTGGCCACGCGTCTCCCTCGGACGGGACACTGGATGTTGTGCCAAACCACCCCTCTGGATCTGCCAAACCCCGGTGCTACGCGAGGAACGGAGAGCCCAACTGCCTGCTGCGCAGCAGCGGTCACCGCACGCCCCATGGATATTGAAACCACATGTCCGGGGAGCTTGCGCTTCCCGACGGAGGCCCCGTGGTGTCCGTACAGCATGGAAATCACAGCACCTCACTGGCATGTTTCCTTCCCCCCCGCCATACCCCGGTTCAGTCGATTTCACTGAGTCACAGTCATACCAGGGGTGGGTTTCGTTATCTTTGAGCGAGTTCTGGGTCTAAAACAAACTTCGCCAACCTACTGGTGATCAAACGGTGACCTTTCTTCCGCAGGACCTCCTCCTCATTTCTCCAGGGGCTGTTTGCAAAAATTCTGTTCTCGTGGATCATCTCTGTTTCGACTGTTTTCCTTCCCGAATTAGTATAATTTACAAGCACAAAATCCTTTTCTCTTCCTGAATACTTGCTCATTTGTGTACGCGTGCAAGTAGGCAGAACTTCCATGCAACAGTCTAAATCATGCAAATAAAAATCAAGTTGTATTTTTCTTCAATTTGTCTACTAGAGCAGAATTTGCATTTGTGCATTCGGAGACACAAAGTTGTTAATTCTGATCCAAACTCAGCTGAGCCTAAGCAAGTGGATTTCATTTTTGTTCCTAGCCATAACACATGCAGGAGATTTGAAATCATATTTATGGTTTCTTTGTCGATTTCATTAAAAACAATCAGTTATTTTAAAAAATACAAACGGCAGCTGAACGTCATCCACAAACCCCACCAGCAGGGAATCTGTGAAGGCTTCGTGGGCACACTTGGGTGCACAACTGCTGATGGAATGCGGGTGAGGACAGGGCCTGCCCCCTCCAGGGCTCTCCCTGCTGAATGCCTCCTGGCTCCTGGGTTTGGCCCCGCAGGCTGGATGCAAGCTGACATTTTGGTCTAACTGGAAATTACATTTGTGTCTCAGCCATTAAAATTTCCACATTAAAAATGCTGGGGGGAAAAAAAAAACTTGTAAATGGAGAAAGTGATATAAAAACTGGATTTGATGATTAACATGTAAAATGAGGAATGGAAGAACAATATTTCTCCTTCAGTATTGCTTGAGTTTAGTGACGAGGTCACCACATCTTATGTATAATCGTATCTTTAGCAGCATTAGCAAACATGTCAGCAATTCCACCACAAAAAAAAAAATCAGTGTATGGATCCAAATATGCAATGATAGGGGTTGTAAGTGAAGAAGCATGAACTAAGAGCTTTAAATTCAACCATAGTAAGAAGGAGCCTACAAGACAGAAAACCCTTAGTTCCTACCACTCACTCATGGACAGGGAGACTTTGGCCATTTGGTTCTTTGACCAAGAGACCTGCTGACTGTATACATGTATCAGCATATAAGGTTTCTAAAACCTCCATTATAAGACACATTCCATCATCTCCCAGGATTAGTCATGATGGTTATAACTACATTGGCAACGAAGTGTGAGTCCCTGGGGCAGTAAGCTCTAGGGATCTTCAGAGGGAAGGTTCAAGCCCTGAAAGATTGCTTCAGTGTGAGCCCAAGCTCTCTTCCACCTCATTTGCAAGTGTGGGGGCTCAGAGCTGAGAATGTAGACACCTTCTCTGCTGACCAAGAATCGTGCTCCTCTGAGTTATACTGCAGATGCCCTTATGCTGATATGCAGCCAGATTGCAGCAGAGAGCAGCTAGGAAACACATAGGTCAAGAGCTTGATGAACATTAATTATCTGTTGAGCTCTTGCTTCAGCTAATAATTCAAACAGAACTACAGAGGCAGTGTGCTGGCTTTGGCCTGCTGTGGCATATAGTATTAAGCATCATTTTGATATGAATGGCATCACCAAGCTAAATGAATCTCCCTAACTAAAACATCCCAAAGTCAGGGGATTCCTATAGGATCTATACAGTCTTGCTGGCTGCCAGCAATATACAAGAAAGCTTTGATCCATTTAACCTCCAAATCTTTTCTGGAAGCAAGCAGAAAATTCTCCAGTAACAAGGGAACATGTTTTAACATCAACCTTGATCTCAAGATAAACAGCACACAACTTCAAATACAGATCAGAAACAGCTTACACAACACAGAGACACGCCAGAGCTTTTAGTCATTACAATACTATTTTCCATTTAAATAGCATCTACATCGCTAAATTCTACACAAACAGAGCTAGCTACAGAAATCGCGTCATTGTTATTCAAATGCAACCATCCAAGGTGGATAAAAGTGCACAGTACATTTGAAGCTACAACACTGAATATTACTTTTTTGGCTTACAGCATATCTTATAAACAAAATCACATTTTTTTTTCTCCTTCAAAAAATTAAATTTTTGTAAATAATTCAATTAAATATTCTGCTATCTTGATTTTTTCTCCGCCTTGTTAATCAGTTTTTAAATAGTGCACATCAATTATTCATCACAGAAAACACTTCATTATTATTTATTGCTTTGGACAACTATAACACTTTTTATTATTATTATTTGCACAAATATTGCTACAAACAGTGAAAATGCACTCCTGGTAAATCTGTCTTGGCATGCAAATTCAGCATTGGTTTCTGAGGATGCAAACTACAGAATTGCAGGAAATGTTTGGAAAATTGGACACAAAACATAGGATTTGTTCAATTTAACTTCAGAATCAGAGCCTGAAATCCTAGCTTTCCTGTAGAGCTAATGAAAAGAAACAGACATTTTAAAACCATGATTCACCTGATCTATTTTAGATGTCTGGTCTGAGAGGACATGAATTGGGCCTTTGGAGTCAGACTTCACCAACTCTACAAGGGAGTGCAAAATGAGGAGCGGAGATCTAGGTGTGAACATTTACTCAGCTGAAAACCATCTTAAAATCAGGACTAAATTCACAGCCAAGTGACCTGGCTCTGGCCACCCGTCCGCACTGTTACACACTTTGTGCTGCACAGCCTCCGGATGCAACAGCTCAGGGTGAAACATCTTCTCTCCAGCAGAAGGCCAGCATCCTTCAGTCCCTGAACCATGAAACCTTGACTTCAGGGCACCTACACCTCAGAGGGAAGGATTTTGACAGACAGCTCCAGTAGATTTAGCTGCTGTGGTCTAAGCTGTTACCCTCTCCCCCATTCCCCACACTCTTACAAGGGATGGCAGAACTGGGCACAAACCTGATGCTGCAACTGTCTAAGTACATGGTCTGTTGTGTTAAGCTCGAAACCTCATAAAAGCAATTTTCTTCTCCAGCCTGTAAACTTGAGCCCTGAGACACTAGCACATGTCACATTCTCCTCTAAGGCTGTAATTTCCAGCTGACAAGCAAGGCAAACATCTGGGACAGCCACGTTTTAAATCACAGCAGTTAAATCTGCCAGAGCTTGTCCACAGGAGCACTAAATCACTGGTGCCGTTTCCGGAGATACCTGGCTTTTCTTTGGAAAGCTGCTGTGAAATCTCTGAGCAGACACAGAGTGGAGAAGTTCTTCCTTGGAGAAATTTGTAATATTGTCCAGTTCTTGTATCCCTAACTACCTTTCCTCAAAATCAAGTCTCTCTTCCAGAAGCTTTCCTTCTTTTACAGTTGTTCTGTGCCAATGTTTTCATTTTCCCTTCCTCTCACCCTGACAGAAGCTTCCCTTTGCAAACATCCCATCAGGGGTTGGGGGCCAGACAGACTTCTGCAAGTAACTGTTGTTCCCTTATGCAGGTTGGCAGTTTTCCTTAATGACAGAGTCTCTAAATCAAAGCCAACAAACCTTGAAGGAAGTAGCAAACATGTCTTGGTGTCAGTAGCACCTGGATCTGTGCTTTAACTCATTACAGGTGTACAGAAACACCACGATTTCCCCAGGAGCAGGACAAACTTAGCATCAGAGCTTGCACGCAAGTTTCTTGTATTTCCTTTGTGGCAAAAGAGGATTAGGGGCATCCTCCCTACAGAGAGAAAGCAGCAACACTCCATTTTTCACCATCTGGTACCAAATATCTCTCAGTGAACACCTGCATAATCTTGACATTGTTTATGGAACTGGCTTTAAAACTTGTACACCGCAGTGATGCAAAAAGAATCCAAACCCTGAAAGATATTTTTTTTTTTTCAAATCATCATGATTCCAGTCCTTTCTTGGGATTTTTTTGTCCTGTCTCATGGGTTGTAATCATGGTTTGTCGACACTGTCAGGTTACTAGTGTGGTGAAATGATCTCATGTGACAAGTACACACCAGTAAGCAGACAGTAGGTGTAATGAGAGCAAAAAACATCAACCTAGTGCTTGAGAGCTCTGGTGGTTTTTTTAACAGTCTCCTAGAATTTGGGTAACTGTAAGGCAGTCTCGTTCAACACCAAATTTAAGTGAAACCCAAATCCAGACATAGAGCACATCTCAATTTCTCTCTCTTCCTCTTTTCTTACTTCTCATTATGATTTTTGAAAAACAGCGGGAATTCTTTGGCTTGCTGGCAAATCTTTTTGGTTCCCAGACTTTCCAGTGGAAAATAGCCATTTCTGAAGACAGCAAAATAATTTCCACAGAGACATTAATTTTGTGAGAAAAACAATTTCCATTTAAAAAAAAAAGAAATTATGATAATTTTCCACCATTCCCAGTGATTAGACCAGCATGGAGAAACCCCAAATGTAGCACAAGCAAGGTCAGCACCATAAAGGTATCTAATTAAGGGGCTCCTCTCCTCTCCTCT